GAATTCTCCCTGTGAGGGTAGCACAGCTGCCCAGAGAAGCTGGGGCTGCCCCTGGATCCCTGGCAGTGTCCAAGGCCAGGCTGGACAGGGCTTAGAGCATCCTGGGATAGTGGAAGGTGTCCCTGCCCATGGCAGGGCATGGAACTGTAAAGGTCCCTTTCAACCCAGACCACCTGATCACTTTGTAATTCATGGAAGAAATGTGCCAAAACAATAGATTTCCTTTTATGATGGGGCTTTGCCTTCAACTTGTGGTAGCTGCCAACACCAAACGCAAAAAACAAGCAACACAACCCACAAAGTAGAACTAAATCAGAAGTTTCTTGCTTCTCCAGAAGTGCCTGTGGGTGGGTGTCCTGCACCCTACATACCTGATATACAAACTTCTATAGTGTAACTAAAGGATGGGATGAACTGACAAGAGAATTCCTGTTGGGGTCACCTTGTCAAGACCCCAGCAGTGTGAAAGTCCTTTTCTCCCTAGCCTGGCTGCTGAAGAAAAGGTCTGGAATGTGTGAATATGAGTTTTCAAGATTGTTTAGTTTTTCTTATCTATAATAATTTCTCTCTGACCTGTTGAGGTCCAGCCAGCACAGAAGCCATGGCAGTCTCTCCCCAGCCCTGGACATCTCCAACATTATATACTCAAAATTACATGTACCATGTTTACAGTTCCCATACCAATACCTAAAATCTATGTTGGACAGTGTGTCCCTATCCTAGACCAATCGAAAAGTGCCACTATCACACCGAAATATGGAGGACAAGAAGAAGGAAGAAGAGGCTAGGGCATGCCCAGATTCCTCCATCTTGTACCCCTGAATTAAATCCTAAAAAAATCCCAAAATTCTACTTTTCCATCCTGTGTCCATTCCTCTATTACACTACTCAAACCCTTTTCGCTTCTAATTCCTCATATAAGGTTGGAGGCACTCCCATGGGCTAAAATCAAAGCCACAGGTGTTTTTGACTTGCTGCCAAGGTTCCCGAGCCCATTGCCAGGGTCTCGAGGCATCCGGGGCAGCCAAGGGGATGCTCTGGACTGCAACGAATTCCCTGCTGACATCGGATTGGAGAGGGAGGGAAGAAATTATACCCCTTCCAAAGTGCAGCCCCTGCCAACGTGTTTTGGATATTCGTTGTTAGCAAGACTGCTCACATCCCTCCTTCACTTCACATCTGATTTATAAAACCAGGAAGCCAGAGTGCAGGTTCATGTCTAATGCAGATAAACAAGATGAACTGAGCACATCCTGCTGTGTCTCTCTCCCCTGGGCTGACACCGCAGTGCCAGGAGCCCTCGCGCTCCCAGAGCTCTTCCCCTCTCTCCTTTGCTCTGGTGGCTCCTTATTAGGGAAAATAAATCTAGACAGAGGTCTTAAAAGCTGAGTTACCTAAGAAGATCTAGATAAATCAAAGGATTTTGTAAAATTAGATTTCCTGTGTTGCAGTGGAATTTCTTGCCATGATAAAAGACAGAACTGGCAGTCAATGTATAGCACTTTTATGACATTCCACTCTGGCTGGAAGTAGAGTTTCCTCAGCTACATTCCGGGGGAGAGTAAGTACTTTGTGGTGTAAGTGGATTTTTTGCTTTTATTTATAAGTTATTAATGATTTTATATTTTTCATGATTGTTTTAAATTACAACAAAATATTTTCAGAAGATACAGCTCCATCTGTATCTTCTTAATATGTGATGTGGACGTGATATGGATTGTTTAGCAAGCTAAAACAAAAATACAGGGGCCAGAAACATCTATAGTTTAAATATTCTTATATGTAGACATAAATAGATACATATTTTTTTACTTTTAAAGTAGCAGCACAGGTTGGTTGAAACTTGAAGATTATAACTACTCACCATTTCTTGTGAAATATAAACTGAATACATTAAAAATGAGACAAGTTTTCATTAAATTAATATATTAATTTCTGCAAATCTCCTGTATGGGCAAAACTTTTTTCCTTCTGCTTTTTAAATTTTAAACTTACCTTTAGAAATTAGAAAGCTAAGGTTTATAAACATCTTTTTGTATGAAACATACTTTTACTTCTTACAGAGTTTTGTCACACACCAGCCTCAAATTCCTTATATTATGGGGGGAGAATAATTAGCTTCTTCACTGTGGACAGTTTAGTTTTCTTTTTAAGGAGAGATTTCATTGAATGTTGCGTTGGGTTGTTTTAAACCACTTTCAAAATGTTCTTGTTATTGTACCAGCAAATCTTAATAAATTTATTAACATGCTACATCGTCATACATGTCCAGATTTATACAAGATATTTTTATGACCTACGCAGAATTCCAAAACCTGAAAACACGCTGATAGCATTAACAATGATCAGATATCTGCTGCTTTTGGGGTATAGAAAATAAGAAGGCAGAAGTTCTGAATGTTTGAAGAGTTCAGTGCCTTGGTCACTGAATCCGTCGCTGGGTTTCACACGCGCGCGTTTTGCGGCTCCCGCACAAGCCCTGAACACGTTTTGCACTTTCAGATTAATTCTAGCAAGTTTCTGAGACCTTTTTCTCCATTTGGCAAGAGAGGATGGCAAGCCCAGATTTTTTTTTTGTAGGGTAATTAAACTACTGATCTTCTTTTCCTGTATCTTAACTTTTAAATGGTAGGGAAGTAAAAATCAAAATAATTTTTTAAATAAGAACTGTATTGCAGTGCTGGTTTTGTAGTGGATTTTTTCCCCCCTTCATTTCAAACTCCGTGGCAACAAAAAAACATAGTGCTTTACCTCAAAACATACAGCAGTGCTACTGAGAAATGTCTGATGTTAAAAAATGGCAATTGTTACTGAATATTATGGGGTCTTTTAAATCCTTTTCTGTGATTAGTTAGAATATGGCTGTAGTAGAAAAATTAAATTTGATTAAGGACTTTCCAAGATCTCAATAGTATAGCCTGTTTTAGTGTTCTGATATATCCCTCACAGTACAAACTCACTAAGACAGAAAAAATGTTATGAACACAACACACAACATGAATTACCAGAGCTAAGAATACTGGATGCAAATTAGCTGTTTAATTAAAATGTTGTTTTTCTTTTATTGAGTTGGTCATGACAACCGTTAGAGCCTGTAACTTAAAATGTAAAGAATGTAAGAATTTCGTGTAAAATACTGAAGCACTTAGCAAACCTCATTTTCTATCTGTAGAATATACAACACAGTGAAGATATTTGACATTTTGAGCCATAGTGATTCCCCAGGTTTTGCAGCAATCAGAAATACAGCAGGTACTACACAGAGTAACAGAAATTCCTTCCCTAAAAACATTTGCAGTTTAAAGTCCTGAAAATGTTACTGACAATAAAAATTACATCTGTCACCCTTCAGTTCACGTTACCATTGCCCCTCTCTTCACTTCATTGTTCCTAATGCTCCACTTTTGCTGCCTTTATTCTTCAGGCAAGTGAAGAAACTTTTAACTAAGAACACATCCTCTAAAGTTTTTTTTTTACTTTTTCTTTTTCTTTTTTCTTTTTCTTTTTCTTTTTCTTTTTCTTTTTCTTTTTCTTTTTCTTTTTCTTTTTTCTTTTTCTTTTTCTTTTTTCTTTTTCTTTTTCTTTTTCTTTTTCTTTCTTTTCATGAAAGCAGGATCAAGTCAGACAAGTTTATCACACAAATTTGAAACATTCAGTCTTCGGCTAAAACTCTTCTTGATTAAGTATGAAAGTGAAAGAAGGTTAGAATTAACTGTTCACGGGTGGTTACCATTATTAAATTGCATAATGAAAGGCATGATGGATGAAGTTTTTCAATAAATGCTTTGCCTATAATTGTTCCAGTCCTAGAGCTCTGACATTTTCAATATTTTCATCATCAATACATTCCATTTCTTTTCTCAGGGATTGAAATCTGTCCGAGATTGAGAAGCAGGATGTTTTCTATTACCATCAGTGTAGCAGTTGCCTCTGGGCAGTTTTCCTTATCTCCTGTTAATGGCCCATCAATGTCTCCCACATGACTCAGACAACTCCCTCCAGGAGCCATTTGCTATTTAACGGGTGATCAAGGACCCACCAAGTGACTCAGAATGACATCTGCCCATGGTGAGATGCTCTGCCCAGGGGGAGGAGCAAGCATCGCCACCTAGATATATTCTGGGATTTTGGACAGAGCAGGCAGCCTTCCCACAGGTTTCCAAGAGGACACAGCTGGGGTTTTCCACTTGACAGACTAAACCTTTTCCACAGGACCACTGCAAAAACAGAAACCACATCTGCCACTCCAGGAGGACTGCAGCCACTCCAGTTTGGACTGCTACCAACACGCTGGCCAAAGGGGTGTCAGGTTGTATTCTGACTTTGTCAATGGTCTTCCTTTTGTATTATTGCATGTATTTTGTTTCATTTCCCTTTTCCCAATAAATTGTATTTCTGACTTGGAGTCTCTCACTGGTTTTGCTTTCAAACCAGAACAATTGCAAAGCAAAATCTTATATTGACCATGAAGCTCTAAAAATGAGGGTGACAGGGTAAAGAAATTAAGCCAAATCTAGCAGAAATATTTTAGATCATAATGAGACTGAAAGACAACTCACGTTATGAATTTCCAAGCAAAGGAAAGGAATGAGAGAAGATGGGAAAAGAGTAACCAGAGAATATTAACAGGGAGTTGTCGCTGCTGAGATGGACACACACACACGTGCAGAGACAACAGTGGCTTCTCTTTGTTACAAGTTGTTCTTAAGTTTTATACCCTTAACAAAGTGAGATCTTCAGTCATTAGTTACATCAAAACAGCTCATTATATTAATTGGACAAAGCAATAGCTCATTGTACTTTATTGGTACAAAGTAATTAACGTCAATAATTAATTGGTAAGAGTTTACAACAAATTATTTAGGGACGTATGCAGCTCACTCCGGCACGTATCCTCTAACTCAAATATCCCTTATGTGTCTATTTTATTGGTTTCCATGCTAATGGCCTTGCTTTCTTCTTTGCTATGGATAAACTTGCATTTTATCAATTTCGTCTTCTGCCAATTCAGTTGTTTAGCCTGCAGACCAGCTGCTAAACCTATCCACAGGGAGTGGGAGGTTGGGGGTTTTTATGTTGCCTAAACCCAGCAGTAAATCCAGTACCAACCTGTAGCTATGTGGATTTCAGTCCTTTTGACTGCTTCTAGTGAAAGAGTATCCTTTGATTTCACAGACTATCAGAGCAACCATTGGACACCAGACCTCTTGAGCCTAAAGGTAAGACATTCGCCTGAACTGTAGCATTATTACACCAAAATGCAATGCTTCAACTCACAATATTTTACTCAAAAGTGTATATCGGAGTGGTTTCACTTTAACTTCATATGCCACTTCTCCCACTGCTAATGCTGAGGTTTCTCTGAGTGGTCTTCAAACATGTCCACCTTCTCCATTACTTATCACAGAAAAAAGTAATTTTATAGCAGTGCAAGACTGCAGAACCTGCAGCAAGGGATGTGCCACTGAAATAACAAAGGTCTTAAACTGCTTTCAACTGACCTTTGCAGAGACAGATGTGCATAACCTGATGTTTCTGGGATATTTGTTACATCTAGTCCCATGCAAAAGCAAGAACTTACCAGATATAACCTGTTTAACCAAGTTGGCTGCTTTCAGGAGGGATCAGGAGCTCAGCTGTAAGAGAATGGGAGACCTCACTGAGTGTTGATAACCCTTCTGCAAAGGAGTTCTCATGACTCATTGTATTGTTCAAACCTCATCTTGTCATGATGCTTCAGATACTTCATTCTTTATTTTTGATTGCTGTTACCCATTTTCACACATATGGATAAGGATTTGCTTGACAGTGATAATTTGCTCTCTTTTCAAAATATTAGGTGTAAAATCTGCACGTTTCTATTCTGATCTTCCTTCTACTGAAATGCTTTTGCTGTTTGGCAGTTCTTTCACATTTGCCTTCCCAAGTCTCTAAGGAACGTCTCATTTGACATGGCACTGACTTCATTTGATTCTCAGGGCACTGGGACCCCTAGGTCAGTCATTCTTTTTGAAGATGGAGGCAAAGAATGGATGATGGACCAGGGGGGGTCTCAGGGTCCTCTGATGGAGGACCATGATTGTGAGATTGATCAAATCCCAGCTGAAATTGTGTGTGATGTGTTACCCCAGACCGATCCCTAAAAATCAATGGGCCCTGATGGAATTTGTCCAAAATCTTCAAAGAGGTGTTAATGTCATCATAAAGCCCCTCTCAATTATTTTTGAGTGATTTTGGGAATCCAGAGAGGTCCCAGCCAAGTGGAAGTAGGCAGATGTTGTCCTGATTTTCAAGAAGGGCAAGAAGGTGGACCCTGGAAACTACGGGCCTGTCAGTGTCCCTTGAATGCCCATGGAAAAAGGTTATTCTGGGAAGTATTGAAAAACAGCTGGAGGACAATGCAGCCACTGGTCACAGCCAACTTGGCTTCATGAGGGGACAGTCCTGCTTGTCCAGCTTCTATGGAAGTATGGAACAACACCTGGTCGATCTAGGAAAGCCAGTAGATGTAATTCTTTTGGACTTCAGCAAAGCTTTCCATACCATCTTTCACAGGATTCTTCCGGGCAAAACATCCATCCCAACACTGGACAAACACATCATGGGAGGGGTGAGCAACTGGCTCATGGGTTGGGCACAAAGGTGACAGTGACTGGGGTGACATCAGACTGGCACAGGTCATTAGTGAGGTTCCAGAGGGCTCAGTCTTGATCCCTGTGCTCTTCATACCTGACCTGGCTGCAGGACTGGAAGGGAAACTGAGCAAGTTCACAGATGATGCAGAACTGGAAGGAGCTGTTGACTCCCTTAAAGAACTGGGAGGCCCTGCAGGGAGAGCTCAACAAATGAAAGAACTGGGCCATCAGTGAGCGCAAGGAGCTCAGCAAGGGGAGGTGCCAGGTTCTGCACCTGGCATGGGGTAAACCTGGGTGTGTGGGCAGACTGGGAATGGGATCCTGGGAAGCAGCTGCAGGAAGAGCTCCTGGTCGATGGCAAGTCAGATGTTAGTCAGCAGTGCCCTGACAGCCAGGAGAGACATCCCTGTCCTAGAGGGCATCAGGCCCAGCATCTCCAGCCAGGGAAAGAGAGGATTGTCATGTGCTGCTCTGCAGAGGCCTTACCTCCAGTCCTGGGGTCAGTTTGTGCACCACAATATAAAAAAATACATTAAGCCCTTAGAGAACATCCAGAGGAGGCCACAAGGATGGGGAAGGGTCTGGAGGAGCTATATGACAAGAGGCTGAGGGGGTTTGGTCTGTTTAGTTGGAGAAGAGCCTGAGGGGAGACCTCACTGGGGTTTTCAACACCCTCATGAGGGGCAGCAGAGGGGCAGCTCTGATCTCTGCTCTCTGTGACAGGGACAGGACTGAGGGAATGGCTGGAGCTGTGTCAGGGGAGGCTCAGGCTGGAGGTCAGGGAAAGGCTCTTCCCCAGAGGGGCTGGCACTGCCCAGGCTCCCCAGGGGATGGGCACGGCCCCGAGGCTGCCAGAGCTCCAGGAGCGTTGGGACAGCGCTGCCAGGGGTGCCCAGGGTGGGGCTGTTGGGGGGTCTGTGCAGGGATGGGGCCGGGCTGGGACATCCTGTGGGTCCCTCCCAGCTCAGGACATTCTGAGATTCTGTTCTATGGCTCTGTACACAAGTATTTTAAGTAGAGGACTTGCATTGTGCCTGGGTCTGGAGCACAGTGTTTTATGTGTGCATCTTTAGGTTTTATCTTCCTCTAGAAACCTTATATAAAATGAGATAATAATTCCTGGCCTGCTTATTTTCTTCTGTGATTCCTGGCTTAGACTGAACAGTTTCAGAGATGTGTTTGATCTCCATTACAGTGGTTGGGATTCTTGAAAACCACCAGCACAAATTCATCTCTTAAATTACCCACAGGTCTTGATGCTTCTGTCCTGCCTTGCCTAGCAAGTTTTGACAAGTAAGTTATCAGATGAATAGCTCTTCTCAAATGGGGCTGATTGAGAAAATGGGAAGCAGCTTCAAAGCACAAATGATCAATTGTCTCAAGAAACACAGGAGATCTTTGGAGGTGCTGAACCTAATTATCCATCCCTTCTTTGGTTAATATTTCAAGCCAATTACCCAGAGTTTACACCAATCTGGATATGAATTTCATCTAGTTCTAATCAACTAGAACTTTTGTTCTTTGGCTTTGCTAATCTCAACTGCAGTGAATTTCACATCTGAGTTAATGCTGGGTTTATTTACATCACATCAGACTCATTGGATGACCAGGACAAGATGCTTCGTAACCTGATATTGCACATTATTGCTGCTGTCATTTAATATTAGAGGATGAAAGAAAGTTATTACTAAGTACAGAGGTTTGAGAGCTTGTTCTTCCAGGAGAAGATTTCAGCCTGGATTTAAAAAAAACAAACCAAACCAAATATCAAAGCATGAAAATGCTGAATTTTTACTTTGCTCTGCCAGCATTTCACATCCTTGTACTGTTTGACTGCCCAAAGACTTTCTTTTTCCTCTTAGGGGTGAGCAGCACAATCATATGAAATCTCTAACTGTCCTTTCAAATGGTCATTCCAGTAAATATCACCTGCTGATACTGGCACAGAAGCAGAGAACCTTCTTCCTACTGAAACCTGTGGCAGACTTGTAAACAACAGCATTTTAATTTAACTTTCTTATTAATATATTAGAAAAAACCCCCCACCTTTTAAGCCAAGATAGGAAGTTTTCAGAATAGCAATGTTTTCCTAATAAAAAACATTTGCAACAGAGATTAAAGTTAAAAAAATTACTAATAATAGATTCTTGCACTGTGCAGATGCAGCAAATCAAGCTGCATTCTGTCAGGCTCAGCTTCTTTCTGTCCCAGGAACATGACCCCAAAAATCAAAGAGATGTTGCTGATAGAAGTCAGATCTCATATACCCATGAAAGACATCAAATCCTTTTACAAGTTGGTACAAGGCCATTAAAACACACAATCTATAACAATCCACAGACTATTCAAAGGGCTTTGCAGATGATGGGTGCACACTCGCCCTGGTGTGAATCAAACAGACCTCACATGTACCCAGATCCTTGTGGGGACTCTTTTTGTCTCAACCCATTTCCAAAGCCACCAATTGCATCTGCAAGAGATGCTCAGGGGAAGGTGCAAAGGGGAGGTGGCACGAAGGAGTCAGAACAAACAGTGATGGAGGGCATGGTGAGGGAGCCACAGGAAATTATGAGGAGATGGGGAGGTTGACAAAATGTGGGGAATTGAAGGAGATCAAAAAGCATGGATATTGGGAAAAGTGATGGAAATAAAGGAAAGACAGATAAAGACAGGTAGATAAAGAAGAGTGTAAAATACATCAGAGAGGAAAGGAAATTTGGCTGGAAAAATTGGGGAAAACAAATATCATAGAGGAAAACATTCATGTACAGAACAGGAGGAAGAAAAGCCAAGATGTGCTAACTGTGGAATAAGGAGAATAAGAAAAGGCAAAATACCTTGGTTTTGTTGTAATGCAAAAGAATGGAAAATAAAAAGAGACAAACAGGGAGAAAATGAAACACTGAGATAAACCCAAGAAAAGAAGCCCAAATGTGCTGACACACTAAATTTTTACAAGACTGGTAGTGTATGCAAACCAGGTGCATACAGGTGCTCTGCATCATGTCTGACAACCCAAACCACAGTCTACCATGACAGTGGAGTTTCTTTACAAAGCAGCACAGAACAAATCCCTGGGATCTCTTTCTCTTTTAAATGAGAAAATTAATTTAATCCCATAAACGGATGCAATATAATGAGATTTAAATTCAGGGTCTCAAGGCTGGAAGGTAAGCTAAGAACAATTTGTCCCTAATTTAGATAACAGCAGTGTCTGAAAAACAGGGGGTTTGTAATGGGTAATTTAGACTAAGCTTTTATTTCAAGGGGGATTAAAAAAATAAATTTTCAACATGAACTTTGAAATTGCACTTTCAAAAGGAAGACTGCTAATGCTGTCAATTCCCCTGCAGATATCAGCACATAATTCTGTAATTGAAATGCTTTCAAATGAAGGATTTGGTTGCTGTTAAATATTTTCATGTCCCAAATGCCAGTTTCAGAAACCAACATCCCAACCCTCTGAAATTCACCCAGTTCTACCAGTGTGCCCCATTTCAAACCCATCACCCAACAAAAGTGAAGCAGGAACAAGGGAAATACATCTCTCAAGAACCTCAGAAATTCCATATGTTCATGCAGGTCTGTGTCCCCCCTGCTGTTCCAGGTGTCTTCACACAGCTCCTCAGAGAAGCTGCTCTGAGCACTGCTCAGGTGTTTTTCTTCAACAACTTCCTCTCCACCTGGTCCCTCCCATGTTGTTTCTCAAGAACTCAGAGAAGTCCCTTTTTGTCCCCAATATTTCTGGTGGCTGGACACATCTTTCCTTCACGCAGGAACTCCATTGGTGGGTAACCCCTAAGTGTCCCAAGATCCAAGCTAACATCCTGGATGCTTGTTGGAATAAAACCAGGCTAAGCACTGTGTATCTCCCTTAGCAGACGTTCTGCACTCTAAAACAATGCAACATCACGAACTATTAGTACCTTCAATCAGAAGTAGTAAAAACGAAAATGAACAGCTTTAGATATTTACAGAATTTTCCAGTTTGGGGGATGTAAGGATTAGATTAGTTCCTGCTCCAAGGCAGCAATTCCCATGGCCCCATGTTTCTTTACAAATTTTTCAAGTCTTGTAAAGTCAAGCTTGTGTTACCTTTCTATGATCTTTCTCACCTAAACTGACACAGTTTGGCAGGCTGACTGAGAGAAACATAAAAAAAAAAAAAAAAAAAAGTAATAAAATGACCTCCTAAAGAGGCATTTTTTCTTCCCCAGAATAGTCCTGATGAGATCCTCAGCACTAAAAAATACAGACTTGCTCATAAGACAGAAATGCAAGGGGCTGATGTTTTATTTCATATCAGAGCTTCAACCCCTCAGTCGATTTTTATTATACAACCATTCTGGAGGCTGTTAAATCAAATTTAATCATTCAGCTTCCTAAAAACTCATTGCTGCATTGAAATTCCTTCCTGTCAGAAGCTTTTGGTGCCCCAGGCTGCAAACGGGAGCAGCACTGTCAGCAGCTGAAGAGCTCAACCATTGCTTGTTTCTATCCCTTTGCACAGAACGCACCAAAGTAGGCATAAAAATCCCAAAAACCCAACCCTCATGGCACACATGACATGCACATGGCTGCAAAATGGCCAACACAAAGCGTTAATATACCATGGAGATGTATAATGTAACCCTTGAAATGATAAAGGAACATTTGATATGTCTTGAATAATCACACCCACATTCAGGTAAACTCATCTGGTCTTCGTACATGCTTTTATTAAGCTTAAGGAAAATAGCTTCTCCTCGCATTTTGGCTCTTAGTGACTGCACAGAACTATGTCACTGGAGCGGAGCTAATGGAAACCTCCCAGCTCTGCTGCCTCGGGGGTGGCTGAGGGGCTGATCCTGCAGCTGCCCAGCGCCCACAGCGATCGTGAACCCTGCAGCAAGGAGCCTGAAACAAGCATTGTAGAGCACAACGGATGGGGTTTTACAGCAGGCCTTTCCCTCTCCCTGCTATCTATCCTTTTCTACCTGAGTGACAGGAAAATCCCAGCTGGAATCGCCTCTGCCTGAAGACGGCCGAACCGGGTCTGTCCTGGTGGGTTTCAAATGGGAGGAAAAGGAGGGGCTGAGGGTCAACTTTCCAATGGATGTTTTTACCGCAAGACAGCAAAGAGAGAAGGAGGGGAAGGAAAAAAAAAAAAAAAAACAAAAGAAAAAAAAAAAAAAAGGGGGGGAGAAGCGATAAAAAGCAGGAATTGAAGCAGGGCAGACTGACCATCGGGCTGTGCTCCGCGCTCGGGTGGCGCGGGAGCGCCGGCAGCGCTCGGCTGCCCGGCCCGCCCTCCCCGCGGAGCGGCGGGACGAGACAGCGGCTGCCTGGGCCTGGGGCCGGGCCCGGGACACCTTTCTGCTCCGGTAGGACACAGCCCTGACCCGCACTGGGCCTTTTCCTTGTCCTTGCCTCCTCTCCCGCCCCAGCCGGTCCCTTGCCTGCCGCGCAGCGCCGCAGAGATCCGCCTGCCTTTACCTCAGAGCAGTCCTGCAGATCTCCCTCACGGCTCTGGCAAGCGGCAACGTTTTCAAACTCTCTTAACTTGGTTATTTTACCATTTTGTTCTTCTGCATTTATTTGCTCCACTTTTCTGTTCTACTCCAAAGCCTTCTGTTCCAGACACTGCCTGCGATTTAGGTTGTTTCGATTCCGTTTGGTGTTTCTGTCTCTTCAAAATTTTTTTCTGGTTGCAAATTTTGCTTTTTCGTTTAGTCTGCTTCTAAGGTTTTTTTCCCTGAAATTATTTTAGATATTACATTATCTCTCTTTACTCTTTTATTACATTATTTTAATAACGTACATTCGAACTAACGTACATTAAAATTAACAACTTACATCTCCTAAGCTGTATTTTTACACTGTTCCAATTGCTTAGCTATATTATTTTATTCCTCTGTTGAACTGCAGTAACTAAAATGATGATATAATGCTAAAATTATCTCTATTTTCCTGAAACTTTCATAACTCCAGAAAGATAAGGGATTGGATTTTATCTATTTTAGGAGTGATAATATTCGTCTTTGAACATCAGACTGTAATTATTTTTCTGACTTGCCCTATCAGCTTTTGCTGTAGCACCTCACAAAACAAATCCTACACTTCACATACCCCATTGTCCAGTCTTCCATTAGTATTCTTAATATTCTTTAATTTTGTGTGAGTTCAGCAAGTAATGGCTTCTTTATACCGTTAACAAAAATACAAAATGCAGAGATCATTTCTGACTGCTGTTTTCAGCACCAGAATTTTTCTTTCAACAATCATTTCTACTCAATTTTATAGACCCTGCAGTCACTTGAAAATCAACAATTTTATTGGTAATTTTACTGTGGTTGTTATTTTCCAAAAAGGACTCCTTTCTTTCTGTTGTCCAGATTGTTGTCTACTTTTCCTTGCTTTATTCTCTAGATACACTTTACAGCTCTCTCTTTCTGCTGCCCTTCAGCCAAACCACGAAGGCAAAGGAGAGCTCAGTATGTTCTGAAGTGCCTCTGGTGCTGGGCCTGGAAATTTTGGAGTTTCTGGGCATCTTCTTAATGTGAGAAAAGCTCTGACCAAAGCAGGGAAAGTCCTGCAGAGGCATCACTGGACTGTCCCCCTGCCTGTCCCTTTAAAAATCCAGGCATTTCGTTTGGATAGGCTCAAGTCTGTCATTTTAGACACTTAATAAATCCCTTTCAGAAAGGTCTTTTAAAGCTTATTAGGGCTCGAGGGGGATTATTTTGTCGTTTGGTTTGCATGGTGGTTTGGAGCCTTTTTTGTTGCTATTTTTAGTTGGGTTTTGGTTTTCTTTGGTTATTTGTTCTAGTTTGGGGTTTTTTTTCCCTGAGAACATCCCATGTTTGCTTTATAAATATCAGAGTTTCATTGCCTGATGCATTTCCCACTTCACAGAATAATTATTTTTTTCCCCACTGAAGCAGGCTCAGAAAGCTTTCACAGCATCCTAGTCCAAATGCAAAAATACACAAACCCCAGTGTTTTCCCTAATTATATTCCCTTTTCCCTGTACATAAAAAAACCCCAATTCACTGAAAACTAAAGGATTTTGCTGGCTTAAATATATATATTTTTTTCTTTAGCATTCCCTTCAATATGTTACACACAGACATAGGAGCAAAGATATACATTAATCAGTCCCCAGTATTTTGCAAACTGAACACCTACTAAAATCCTTGAATAAATAATTAACACCTTGTAAATTAAGTGTGCATGCTCATGGAGGATATTTGCATAGAAGAAATATTAACTTATATTTAAATTATTAATAACATTTTTTTAAAAAAGCAAATTTAATGGAAAAAACCCAACATAAGTGGAATACTCATATTTTTTTCTTTCAATCAAATCAGACAATTTATCTTCAAATTTCTTTACTCGGGTGGTTAAACTTTTATTTAATTTGCAATAAGTATATTGAATTTGAGTGATCAGGAGACAAAAGGCAGCACTTTCTGCAGGGAACATTCACTACATCTTTTCCATTTGCTTCTCTCTGCATTTTGAAATGCTCATGCCATTAAAGAAAACAACCTGGGATAATGAGAAAGACATTACATTCCAAATAGTATTGAATTAAGTATTTTGAATCTGTTCAACACGATAACTTTAACTGTTTAGCAAAATATGAAGTATGAGTTTTGTCCTGAGAACAGAAATATCCCAGTTAAAAATGTCTGGGTGTGCACATCAGCCTCTTCGTATCTCCCTGGAGGGCGAAACTTTAAATTAATTTTGTCATTAACTTTTCAAAAGTTCCCATAACTGAGGCGTTTCCTGTGCCAGGGAAAGCAGCCCTGGAAGGGGGAGCTGAGCCCGGAGCAGCTGCAGGTCCCAGGCCCAGCTGCTGGTGGCAGCAGGGACGTTCTTTTGGGGAACACTCTGGGAAGGCTCAGCTGGCAGAGACATCCATGTATTTTGTGGGTGGAAATGTATTTGCTTAAAAGAAAAATCAAGAAAGTGGCCAATTCCCAGTGGGGAACCGTCCAGAGGCCCAGAGTGAATCATCAGATGTAACATATGTTACCACATACATACATAAAATTATATATATATATAAAATTAGATATATATATTTTATTATAATATAGATTTTTATTCTATATAAATATATAGGATATCTTTTCTATTTTATTTATTATATATACTTGTGTATTTTATTATATATTTTATATATATATTGGTTATATATATTTGTGTGTAATAATATTTATTATTCATATATAACAGTAACAACAACAACATTAGTAATACAACAATATATTATTTATTTATATATATATAAATCATATCTATGTATCTATTATTTTAAATTCATGCTGCACTTTTAACCATTTATATGTTGAATTTCAAGGATTGTTCCTTCAATATATTCTTAAGATTTTGAAATGAACTGCTTCAATAGGTCTGATTCAATACCTGACACTCTGAAGGTAACTTTTATTTTCCATGACCTAAAGCAGTTTTAGAGATATCAAAATGTAAGATATAAGAAAACCCAAACAAAACAAAAAAACAAAACAAAAACCAGAAAAAACACTGACCAAACAAAATAAAGCAAACAAAAACAAACAGAAAAAGAAAATAAAAATTAAAAAAAAAAAAAAAGAACACTTGGAAATAAGTAAGTAGAGAGGTAGGTCAAGTTGTAGGAAAACTGTAATGCCATAAATGTAAAAGCAACATCTTTGTTTTCATGATTTTATGAGTCCCCAAAATTCCAGAGCTGAAGTGAACATCCACATTTGGCACTTGGGCACAGCTTGGGACTGCTAAGACAATAAATAAAACTGAAGTTCTAGTCATTAGTTAGCCCATAACACAAACAGTGATGTAATATCCAGCAATTTTGCTTAGAAGCTGTATTTCTTAGGGAAAAAAACCCCTTAAAAATCAATTTTCTGTAGTAGAAAAGCCAAAGGCAGAAGTTCTGAAGTACAGTTGTTACTGAACCAGAATGGTCCAAATCCTGGAAATGTTTTGGACCTGGCTCCTACTTATGGCAGCTTCACCCCATTAGAGCTTTGTCATCTTGCTTGAAAACTCATTTTTCACTCCATCCTCATTTCAATCCTGCCAAGCACATTCAGGAAGTGAGACACTCTCCATTTCCCACTGGAATTCCTGGAACTGAGCGCTGAGGCTCTTTTTAGACATACTTTTCAATTTCTTTGGTTTATCCAAACACTTTCCAATAAATGAGTGGTGTTCGTGGAGCATCTTCCATACACAGCCACGCTGATCTCAAACAAATATCCCCTTCCTACTGAAGTTGCTCCAGTTTTCCCATTTGAGAGCTCCATTTGCACTTCTGACAGCAGTGCTACACTGCGAGCTCATTTCTACATCAATGCCAAACCCTTTTGCATTCCTTCTTCCCAGAACAGCATTCCTCAGCCCAAATGCACAACACATTTTTTCCTGGATGTTTGTCCATTGTTACTTTGTTCATACATTGTTTGCTATTTTCCTGTGGGCAGTAGTCCATTAATATGCTACTTGCAGAAATTTGTCTTCATCCTTGCTTCCCACTTATGGGCTACACATGGATCTCCCTCCTTCCATGGAGAAGCTGTGCCTCACAGAGCTTTGTAGAGACAGTCCAGATCTCTCACTGATCTTGCACAGATACCCAAGATTGCTCCAATGTCTTCCTTCTGTATGGGACACAACATCTGAGTCCCTGATCCCAGGATTTTCCACACACACAGACAAGGGCAAATCAAATAACCTTATTCTTGTTTTCTTTTTCCTCATTTCTGGTGGAGGCACATGAGTACAGCAGATAAAGTTTGCAACTACTCTATGTGAATCCAGTGGCTCCGAGTGTTCTCAAATGTCTGTGCCACAGTCAGGATAACACAACCTTCCACAAATGTGGAAGGAGTGTCCAGAAACCTCCTTTTCTCCCCATCAGCAGCCAGGAAGGTCTCCCCTCCCTGCCACTCAGCACCCTGAGCTGGGACGGGCCAATATGTGTCACCAATATGCAAGTGGTGCCCTCAAGAAGAAATTGTGTTTACAAACCAAGATTAATTAGAGTCAGACCCTCTCATTGAGGATGTCAAGGATACAGGCAAGGATATGATATTTAGCAACCCCATTACACATGGAACACAGAGACTTTTAGCATTCTCTTTTAAATTCAATCCCTTAGTCATAGCCCCTTCAAGTTTCCCTTCAGCAGGTGTGTCTGCCATAAGCTAAGCAGGAATTCCTCCCTTCTGCCAGGAATCCAAGGGAAGCAGGGAACCCTGGAGGGGGGGCTCTGCCCCTGCATCCTGATCCCAGGGTACAGCTGTGCTGTAT